CTGGCGGGCCTGTAAATACCAAAAGTTGGTAGATTACTACTGAAACTGTGATGCGAGTGAAGACAGTAGACAGTGTCCAGCCTCATACCGCCTCTTACACGATGGACTGATCCAGGCCGTTCAGGAATTTACCACTCGCCTTTCGCCCTTCCTCAAGGGTGCTATTAATCACTTCGCCGTTACTATCTCAGATACAGGATAAAGCGCCTAGAGAACTTATGAAGATGGGCTTATGCCCTGTGTCTCGACGGCTGCTTGGCCGAAACGGTTCACAGCTTTTTGAGAAACTGAGACGACAAACCTTGATAGTAACTATAACGTCATCTGATTGATAATTAGCCCAGTCCATAGGTTAGGCCAGTTTGTAGCGCAAGGTGAGACCCAACTAGACTTTCTTTGCCGGTAAACTCGCTATAGACTCGTTGAGTATTGATATGGCAACAATCAGAGGGACTCGATACAACAATAACAAAGGGACGTTGCTCTTCAAGCGGATTAATAAGCGCCACGTACCCCAAGTATTTAACGATACGAGTTGCAGAGATCATTCAGCGCTTGGTGAAGGATATCAAGGCTCACTGCACGGTGGAGACGTGCACCTACGTGACCCAAACGACGGGTCGCCATAGTTCACTTCTGTACACTCAGCGAATATGGGATGATAACTACTTGAAAAAACTTCATACAAGATACCGTGTAACGAATTCATCATGGTTTCCTGGAGCAGGGCGTATGCCCAGATTTGCCAGACTCGACCAGTTTGGTCATGCTTCACCCCTGAGTTGGATGAGTCTCGCAGAATCGGGCACTGGCTCCCCTTTTTTTTCGTTGGAAACCATCACTATCTCATTGATAGAAGCTCGGTGAGTATAGAAGAGGGCCCCAGGATGTTACAAAGAGACTCGTGAAGAGACGCTGCTGATATGTGTGATGAATGACAGTGATTAGCGCGTGTTGAGAGGAAGGGTTGTCGTTGAAGCTGCTTGGCACCTACCACAGAGGTTACCGCGGCACGTGGATGAGTCTTGATAATGGAGTAGATGAAACTAGATCTATTTCTGCTGGGTAGTTATTATGAGTCCGTCGACTCCTATGAACGATGACGTGAGCTGACGAATTGGCAGGACCTCCACATCAAATCTTGATCCAGTACGCAGGAGAAATTACTGGGCAACAATCAGCTTATTTTATAAGAGTGCTGTCATTTACCCGTGAGTCTCACAGCTGCTAGATTTCGCCACTGCTCATGGTTCGCCCTCCAGTACAGTCACACATAAACTCAACCCGATATTAACTTCAACACAAGCTCCAGACACGTCACAAGGTCCCCAATAGACACAGGGGTAGTGTTATATACCAACTCCACTCAGTATTCCCTTGTCGTAGAGCAATGACGGAATGGCAATGGCCGGTGTCCAGAGCTCTACGAAGGTAGGTCACAACAACAAGCGTTGTTGGTTCGAATCCCGACCCGCGACCTTGTGACCTGTAGAGTAGATAGGCAGTAGGTAGCTGTGATATGAGTAGATGTAACGTGTATTACTTAGGTTCCATGTGACATACTACTATATATTGCCATGTATCTTCTGCCATCTTTATAATTTTGCTTGTTGTAAGCACTTTTTATGTTTACCTCCTTTTTTTTATACATCACCAACACCTCACCTGTGAACTGCTTTTGTGAATGTAATTTATAAACCTTTTAATAAATAAAAGTAGTTATCTCTTTCTTTAATAATTGAAATTGTTAGAGATATTTATTTTACTGTAGTTTGACTATATTTTTAGCTAATACTTACTACCCTGACATGAAGAGAGCAGCTTTGCAGGGAAATTCCTTAAGTCTTATTATTTGGTGACTGGCTATGGAATTATCAGATATGACACAGAACGATCAAGAGCAGCTAATCTGTTTTATTAATGCATAAATAAACAGACAGTGGCTACCTCGTGCACTTGTATAATGCATGAAATGCATGTGAGCACTGCCTTGTCTCAGTAGCCTTGGACTGCTATACTGCTGGTCGCTGGATTGCAGAATACAGGCAGATACAATTTAAAGCCAGAACATATATTATCGCACGGCAGATATTATTAAGAAGACCCTATGCAGATTTATCAGTGTCCGAAAAGTAAACCGAAGTGCTGAAAGCCAGCCATAGTCGCCAGATCACCGAGGACAGGACGCACGCCTATATGTTTCTCTGGACTGCAAAGTATGCGACCGCTTTTGATCTCGACGTCTTCAAAGATCCTTAATAGCCTACACGCTTTCCTAAATCCTTCCCTTGAGCAGTACCCATCTCAGATCTCGTAATCTGCTGAAGCATCGCGAAGTCCGTCCCAACATGAACCATATCAAATCCAGCCTCGATATATCCTTTCGCCTGCTCCGCAGATGAAGAATAAATACCGCACTTCTTCCCCGCCTTACGTGAAACTTCAAGAATGCGATTAATGGCAGCCTTGAGCTCTGGCTTCACAACACCGTTGAGGATCGGATATCCAATGCTATTACCTACACGATGTAAGCCCGATGCAATCTAAGTCTTGCTCCTGAGTGACTCACCGAGATCAAAAGGGCCAATGAATAATACGTCGATACCTTCGGCGGCTGCAATTTCCTCGAGGTTGTCTAAGGCAGACTTTGTCTCGATTTGAACGAGGGTTAGTAGACTGTCGTTGGCCTGTTGTAGATACTCATCCGATGTAGGGACGGGGTTGAAGCGATCCATCGAGAATGGGCTGCCGAAACCACGGTTACCCATGGGAGGGAATTTGGCCGCCTTTACGATATCGCGAGCCTCTTGTGCTGTTTGCAGGAGGGGAACGAGGATCTGGCGAGTGTTAGCAAGTTGCTCAGTTCAACTCGACATACTTGGTCTCCCACTCCATGCGCGCCAGCATCCAGCGACCCTAGTTAATCGTCAGTAACGCCCTAGATAAAGCTGGCCAATAGCGCCTACGCTTAATGAGCCACGGCTCTGTACTCGGGATCCGCACAATCGGCGATGCGCCAGCTGCTGCAACGGCCGGGACGCACTGGCGCATATCTCGATCTGCTCACAGTCAGTGCTATTCGTCGAGTCCAGCTCTGTCAACGAACCGTCAAGATCACCGTGCTCGCAGTCGATCAACACCCAGTCACAGCCAGGCGTCTGCGCGAGCATGCGTGAGATGTTGGTGCTGGGCATCATCTGCCAATATCCGAGGCTCGGCCCTGCGCCTTTGTCAAGCGCTGCCTTGAAGAAATTGCCTGAAGCCATTGTTGCCATCGTGAGAGTGAGAAATATTCTCGTATTTATGAAAATTGCTGTCCAGGTTGAGCCCGATGATAAGGATCGGTGCAGTGTTTTGGCTTCAAGGGCTTTTGAGGTATAGATGAGGAGGGTTTCCTTCGATCTAAATAATCCCAATCCACTCACAGTCTTGGTATTAGCTCATTTGCTACTCCTTGAATCTTGGCGGGTTCTAGTTGTTGATTCGACGGTAGACAGTTAGGTAGTTTACGCAAACCGAGGTTCGGGTCGGAACGACGATGGGTCGGCTTCTGTTCCCGACACACATTTAGATAGACTAGACCGCCTCTATTTTATAGACAGACGATAAAAGATCCAATCGCGTTAATTAAGGATATCAGAAATGCCACCGTTATTTGAAAAAGCAAGACATATCCGACTGGTGGTTCTGACACCGGAGTAAATCCCTCGGCCCCGGGTCATTTTCTCAGAAAGCAGTGAGCTAGATGTGTTATTTGCAGTTGAGACTTATGGTTTAGAGCTCAAATCAGCCCAGGAATCAGTGATTATAGTGAAGCCAAATGCCTGGTGATCGAACAGTTCCGAAGCCAGTCCATGAAGGGCTGCTCAGCTGTGATCTAGTTGACTGAATACTCAAAACCACTTGGGGTTGATCGTGCCTTTTCCTACCTTGTAATTCTAGAAGTGATGATGCCTTGGGTGAGATGATTCCTCGCTCACAGAAAAGCACTCAAGAGCCAAGTATGCACATATTCTCCTGGAAGACTAGACACCAGAAGCCTGAAACAAACCCCGAAAAGGGATATATGGACACCGAAGGATTCATTTACCTGGTTGGACGTATTATTACAAGGAGATGATCATCCCTGGGCGTTGTAGGCCTGCTTGTCATCCTGAAGTGCAGCTTACAAGGGAAGCATGTTGATAGCAGAGGAACGAAGTTGAGTATCGAGAGAAAGCCCTGTACCTGGTGCTACAATAGTGCTATATTCAGTATTGATCATCCAATCAAGTCGCAACATTTGCGTCTAGAATACGTAGAAGCTTGAAACCTTTCACAATATTCTCATTCTCCTCTCAGAGCGCCTGTCACGTCCGTATTGGTATTGAACGAGAAGCTGAGTTACATACAGATTATCGAGGTATCAATCCGCGTTCAGCATTTGAATAATCAGCCATCTGCAATCACTTCTCAACTAGTCAGGAGCCGGCCAAATTGGTGTCATCATTTTATCGGACTATTGAAGCTCTCAGCTAGGGTCACGCATCGTTGCCAAAAACCTCTAGGCTCGAGCTGATACATGGAGGTTGGGACTTGATGGCGCAATTAGGTCGAGACTTTGGATGGCTTCAAGAATTTCTTTCAGTGGAGAAACGCATGGGACCACTCTCTTCAGGACTCTTGGCCTGCGAGCTTCCGGGGGGGCATGCCCCAGCTTTGCAAACATTCGATCCCCCATGAGTTTCACCAAGGCAAAGAACTATGTTAGCACTTCGGCTAGGTTCCCCGCGGGTTCAGTCAATATCCTACGCATACCTCGCCTGGTCTCCAATTTCTGGAAACAAAACACGCAGGTACAAGCCATCAAAGTAATGTCAGCCCTTTACCAACGATATGAAGATATGAGTCCTGAGATGGCGTACTCTACTGCAATCCGTCTGGCTGGCGAGACTCAGTGAAGAGTACCCGTCAAAGTCTTTTGTAATGTCGAACAGGCTCAAGCGATCGGAGTGGTGGAAATGCGTTGTCAGCGCCATCTCGCTGGTGGCGCACTCTCCAATATCTTTGCCATCCATATTCCTCTTCGACAAAACCACTTCATGTTCTTGATTGTTAAGACGCATGAAGAAGGTGAGGATATTCGTCACATTCGGGCGCTCCTGGAACCAACATTTCCTGGCTGTATCCCAACAGTCTCAACACCTCTCTCATCTCAACCACGCCTTGGAATCTTTCTACAATCAGTCAACAGTCTCATTCTGAACCTTTTCTCTCACTCGATTACTTTTTTGCTTCGCAGTTCTTACCACCGCATCCACCACCACAACGCATCAACGCCTCTTGCCTCCTTCACGCACCTCTAATTACACCAGGCAAAAACATATCTAAGAAGCACATTGCGGTCGATGTTGGGCATCTGCCGAAAGTCTATGATGGATGGGAAACTGCGAGATTCGAGGACGACAGGTATCCTTACACAAGATGTAAGTTGTGATCTGAGATCGATGCTTGGTTGTTATTAACATTTCACCTCAGTCCAGGGCTTCGACAATCTCGAAGAGGGCGAGGAATATACGAACGACCCGTACCGTATTGCCGGACGTGGGCGGCTTCTTCGAGAGAGTCGTAAATTCGACCCTGTCAAGGCCGAACAAGGTGTCAAACGTGAGATTGGTATCTATATAGGACAGGCAGCTGAGGTTCTGGACAACGGAGATAATATGACAATTACCCAATCTAACACCAGATTGAGCTGTCAGACTGCAGATTGGCTTGACATGCCTCTACGTACAGACTATATCACCACCTCTAGCCCTCAGTCTTCCTCTGCTTCATCTTGTCGCAATGGGTATGATGGCACGTCTCGACCCGCCTCCCCTCCTGGCCTCCGGTCGTGGTTAGAGCCACGCAGAGTCTCAACCCCCAGCTCTCCTTCACCCGCTCAATCTGGATCTCCTGTAGCTCCCCGCTACGACACCACTTCCGAACTTCACTCTGGCTCAGAATCAACTGGTGTTTCTAACCCCGCAGCTTTTTCCTCGTCTTGGTTCTGTTCCTATCTCTAAGGGATCCGGCCATTCTCAAGAGAACATCCCCAACTTTATTGATTTTGGGTCCACGCTCCCGAGATGATCCTTTCGTCATCTCTGACTCTGATGGTAGCGATATTGCATAGGTTTCTGCACTTCTCCTGGGTATGTGTTGGAATTTCTGTGTTTTCTTTCCCTTTTTTGGTTCTGTGGAGGAGTTAGTGTTGGCTACAGGGAAGTCTTTGGTCTGTATGTTTGTTATCTTGTCACTCTTTAAATCGATTTACTGTTACCTGACCTCTATTACTTATCCTATTTGCGTGATATAGCTTTCGAAGTCGCTGCAACTTTTATTGTATCTTGCCTCCTTCGCCCCAAGGAGAAACGAACGTCAGACAAAAGAAGAGCAGCGTGAAGCCTTTCCGTAGCCCCCAGAGAGTTCGAGAACTTCTGGTATTATATCACGGCGCTAAAATGAGCTGGTCTGAAGGAATAGTGAGCCATTCTAAGTTTACCTAAGTGTCTTCTACCTGCCCTTACTCAGACATGTAAAGGTAGGAGATCACCAGAGCGGGGTTAGCCATATGTGTTTTCATATGTGCATATGTAGAATGTAAGCGAGTCGCACGCCAATTAGATGTGTGGACTACTTCATGCATCAGCAGTGGCCAATCTGTGAGGCCCAAAGGCGGGGAATGTCACACTTGAGCTCGGAGAGACCGAAGAAGAAGGTGATATATGTTTGCTCAAAACACATGAGATACATTTTCTATACCACGACTAATCCTCGCATGATTATCCCATCGCATAGTTCAAGTGGAACTGGCATCACGCCTCGAAATCAACTTGAGTAACGATGCAGAACAGCTCTACCCGAAGGCTACGTGCAGCGCTCTTACGAGGCTTAGGATCATTGGCTACCCCCGCAGTGGCGAGGTGCCTCTGCTCAACAGCACCTCAAGCATGTTCGATTCTCGCTTCAAAATTACCAGCTGAAGCGTTCTTAGCACCAAACTCGACGGGGTACCAGACAGTTCAGAATAGTTACTGGAGCGGAACGGCTGGTGATTTAAGCCCTGCTTGCATCACGCGGCCCGGAAATACGGAGCAGGTAGCCTCCATCGTGAAGGTACTCTCAGCGTGCGGTAGCGATGTTAAGTTTGCCGTTAAGAGCGGGGGCCATGGATCGTGGCCCGGGTGGTCCAGCACGGAGGATGGAGTTCTCATCTCGTTGGACTTGATTGATGGAATCCAGAATATAGCTGACAAGGGCCATGCTGTTGTAGGGTCTGGTGCGCGGTGGGTTGATGTGTACGAGGCGCTTGAGCCCCAAGGGGTGACTGTCATTGGGGGCAGATTCGCATCAATTGGAGTTGGGGGGCTGGTCGTTGGAGGAGGTATCAGCTACTTCACTGGGCTGTACGGCATGGCCTGTGATAACGTTCTCAACTATGAAGTTGTTCTTGCGAACGGGACCATCGCCAACGTCAATCAAACATCCAAGCCCGACCTATTCCGCGCACTCAAAGGCGGTGGCAATCAGTTTGGCATTGTAACCCGCTTCAGCCTGAAGACTTATCGACAAACGACGCAGGTTTGGGCCGGCATCTTGACCTTCTCCATCGACAAGGCCAGCCAGGTTTTCAACGCCACGCAGGCTTTCATCGCTAATTATGATCCTCTATCGCACTTGTACCTCAGCATGGGAGGGGGCTCCAACCCTCAGCTGGCCTTTATAAATGTCTATGTCTTTTACAATGCCTCTTCACCACCGACCGGCGACGCCAACCCTTTTGCCGCCTTCTACGCAGCTGAACCAATTGCAGACACAACCTCCAAACAAAGCTATTCAGCCCTAATAGCATCGAACAATAATGGTAACGCGCCCCAGAAACGTTGGTTGATCGGTGGCCACACATTCCCCAATCTGGTGGCGCCGTACGGCGCTGATCTGTACCTTCAGCAATGGCAGGCCTTTCGAGACATGGCCAACGCAACAGCAGCCGGTGACCAGGATCTACTCTTTTCCATGGCGTTGGTGCCAGTGCCGGCGCTTGCGATGCGAGCCGGTGAGAACGTCACAGGCGTGAAGAGCGTGCTTGGCCTTGAACCTGACGCTGGCGATGCCGTCTGGATTGATTACACGCTCGCTTGGCTGGATGTAAAGGACGACAGTAAGATGTTCGACTTTGCCGAGCTCATCAGCAAGGCCGGAGATAAACTGGCAACATCCTTTGCGCCTGGAGAACCCAGCACAAACACCATCCTGGGCTCTGTAACGGCCAAGGAGGCAGACTTTTACCGGACTAATCCACGGTACATGAATTATGCACTCCTTAACCAGCCTGTCCAGTCTAGTTATGGTAAGAGAAATGAGCAGTTCTTGAAGCGTGTACAGAAGCGGTACGACCCGGATGGGTTATGGAGAAAGAATGGTGGTTTTCTGTGGGACTGATCAATGTTTTGCCTTGTAAAAAGGAAAGATATGTAAGGTTATTGCTGTGGTAAGGAGGTTGAGACGTGTCTAAATGATCCATGCGAGACTTCACCTTTGGCCTGGGCAGAATAAGAGATAGTCAACATTAGAGACGCTGTCTCTCTGACACGATTTATTACGAAGTAGCTTGGCCTTAGGTGCTGGATCAGTTGTATATTCACTGAGCTCTAATCTAATATATGAACGACCATGGTAACCACGACGAACATCCCTTCATCATTTGGAAGCCCTTAGTCCTCTTACAGAGGTAGTGACACGATATCAGGCAACAATACTAGCAATCGCATCAATAACATCCTCCAACCCCTTATCGTCGTCCTCATTGCCATTACCATCATTGTCATTATCCTCGCCGTCATCTTCGTCCCGCTCCGCAACCCTCATAATGACGACCTCTCCACTTGAACGTGCTTACAATGTCTCTTAGCCTTCTTCCAGCACCTTTCACATAGCATTTTGTCCAAGCACTTCTTGCAGCGCCGTATCATCTAACCTTTTGTGAAGTCCTTCCCGCATACCGAGCAGCCACTCAACACCGAGGGCTTGTACTTCGGAAGTACTTTACTGGTGATGAGAGGCACTTGGGCTAATTTTGCTGGGCATGGGCAGGCTATGCAGAAGAAGGCGTTTGAACAACGGTATGCTGAGCGTAGTTAGACAATACCAAATCCACAGGCCGTGCATCGTGTTGAGGGTTACAGTCTCGACTCTTACAGTTCCTCTTTGAATGTGAGTCTGGGGCTACGCATGCTGCCTTAGAAGAGTGTTAATCAACGCGATGGCAGAAGCTGCATTGTCAAAATACTAGCCGGAGTAGTCTTTATCGTACACAAAAGAGGGATTCCTGCTTTGACGAGGGAATGCGATGGGGATGGTAAGACATGCCTCCGAATACAGTCGTTCCTTGGGAAGTTGACCATGAATCTTAAAAAGAAGTGGTCGGAGAAGCAATACGATATTTATACATGAAATTACCAACTGGCCCTTACTGGAGTATTGGGGTGTTGCGAATCGGGAAAACCGGTGACGTTTGATTGGATCAGGGTAGAACTGGCCTAAGGTGTTGAAGCTCCTCAACCAATCAGAGTTTCAGTCAATGAGTCTGGAAATATTCCGCACTGATTCTTCGCATCGGATCATATTGGAGTTGATGGGGTTTGAGGGAGCTTGACTGGATGAACCGTAAGTGCATCAATGCATTCAGCTCTTGATATAAAGCTCAACGGTAAAATCTCACTTTCACCGAATTCCTACCGTCAAACCTTTCAGCATCGATCTTTCTTTTCTTTCCTTACATCTCCGGTCGCTATCCAATGTGTGATGGTTCCTTTGAACCTTTATGCCCTTCGAAAATGGCATAAAAATGATGCTTTTGAAGCGCGAGTACAAACAGACTGGTGCATAATTCGTAGCGTCCCCAAACAGAACATAAAAAACTCATCAAGCAAATATGATCTACTAGAATATTAACCGCTATATTAACAGCAATATAAGAAGCTTGTATAAATGTCGACCTCGGCAAGTTTGCGACTCTATTAGAAGCTCCAAATTGCCGAGGGTTGCCTCTTATCCATTTACCTAACGTGGAATTCGTCGACGGGGATGCAGAGCAATGCAGAGCTGTCGCAGTGCGATGAAGGATTGCAACACCATTGACAGGGAAATGAGCCAATCGTATTATTTAGCTATAAATAAATAACGTTGATAATAGAGTTATAATACAAGGGCTTATCAAACATTTACAAGCTGCCAAGACCGTATCCTGGAACTCGATGATGAAACCGGCCAAGAACTTTCCTATTGGCTGAGCAAGCTATTGTCAATGCGCTCAGCATCAGAGGATCAATGCGCAACTCAAACATCAACAAGCGGAACTTCAGTATCCGGAGTGAGATAAAGATTCTATTCTTTCTGTCTATCATAGCAGCAGTACTTTCAGAGTCCCAGTATATCATCATAATCATTATGTACCGCTCGCAGTTGTTGATCCATGCACATCAATATATTCGTAAATTTTAAAACCATCCCAATGTTCGTTCCGTAATGAATGAGAGTCCGACGAACATCAACACCATTCTTTCCCCAGTATAGTACAAGTAAAAAAAGAGCCGTTATGAGGATAACATATCCTGAGTCGCGTCTTTTCCGTCGCGTGGTTTCATGTCTATTGTTTTCAAACACTTGTGAAGTCTAAGCGAAAGCACCGACAACAGACATTCCAAAGGCTTGGCAGAGTTAGCGAGAGCACGGACGATGAGATGGGGGAGAGACTTACCGCCGAGGCCGATCCAGCAGAGAGCGGCGATCTTGTCCTTCTTCTTCATGAGGTGCTGGGCTTCCTCGGAAAGGAAGTCCTCAACCAGTAGGTTGACCAGAGCAGCGTAGATGAGAAGACCAGAAGAGCTGGGAATTATTAGAGACGATTGAGAGGAGTGGTATGAGGGAAACTTACATGGAGTTGAAGACTCCAACCAAGATTAGACCGAGTGCACTCTCGGGGTCGTAAGAGTTTCGGCTAGCGATTCCGATGGCCTGGCCG